ATTTGAGCCAATTAAATTATTACAGTGACATTACTACACTTTACTGCAGGGCTTCTCAAACTTTTAATCCAGCGGACCCCTTTCACAGAACAAAAGGTGGACCCCTCAGATTCAAGTATTTACAATTGTATATTTATAGTATGTATTGAATTAAAGTTTTATAATCTAACATTAGCCAGTCCATTTCTAATTAGGTGATGGAGAGGGATATTACTATGAAAACAAACATTATATTGACCTACTTAACTTTCTTTACAAATAATTAAGGTTTTAGTTGAGATAAAAGTCAGTGTCATGAGCGGGATTTGAACCCACGACCATCGGCTAAATACGCCGCTGCTCTACCATATGGACTATCGTGACCTCAATCCACTCGGGCACTAACTTCCCATCTCAACCCCACCTTTTATATTTTCCCTCCTTTTTGCCATTTTTCAAATGTCGTGTAATCAATTTGATTTTCGGCGACAAATGAAATGGCCACGGAGAGCTTTAGTAAAGTATACTTCATTTAAACTTATTAAATTCACTAGTTTTCCTGGTCCGCTTGACCAATTAATATCTTTCAATTAATTATGGTTTTTAGTTGAGATAAAAAATTCGGTGTCACGAGCGGGATTCGAACCCACGACCTTCGGCTAAATACGCCGCTGCTCTACCACTTGAGCTATCGTGACTGCGATCCACTCGCGGGCACCAACTTACCATCTCAACCCACCTTTTGAAAAAGGGGAAAAAGGAGAGAAAATTGGTGTCCGTGAGTGGATCTATCAGTATCACAACTTTAGATGCTAATGACAAAGTTCACTCCTTTCAAAGAAAAATCCAGTTTTGAGTTAAATCCGTTGAGAAGGAATAGGTAGAGTTTTCCTATGTTAAATGACTTTTTAAAATATAACAAACTGGAGCTTGCGGACAGCACTTGATTGATGAAATAAGTGAACGCCTTCGAAGTTGGTGGATGTCCTTTGAGTACTACTTCCCAACAGCTTCAGATACAATGCTGGAAGACCATTGATGGGTGATCAAACCGTTTTCAATTTCGACAAAGCCGACTATCTTCAAATGAATATGAATTTTTGATTGACATTACTTCAGACTCCACCTTGAGATTTACATTCGAGTCAGATTTTTACCCCTATTTTGGACTCCGTCTGGAAACCAAAAAATTTCAACCCCTTGATGAAAAAGCAAAACGTGTTCTTCATCAATTTGCTGTATCTACCTAAGCGAATCTGGATTTTCTAGCTATACAGCCGCCAAAACTAAACACCGAAGATGTCTAGATGCTGAACCCGACATCCGTCTCCAGCTATCAAAAATTAAACCCAACATATCCAAATTGTGCAGGTTAAAACAACCTCGCTCTACCTATTAATTCATTAATAATTAACGTTAAAGTTACTACTTTTGAAATTAACTCGAGTTTTACACACCTATTGATACCGTTCTGTCCAATTGGTTGATTATTGATTTTTGTGTTCCCGATTTTGTAAATAAATTCACTAATTTCGTGGTCCGCTTGACCAATTAATATCTTTCAATTAATTAAGGTTTTTAGTTGAGATAAAATAGTCAATGGCACGAGCGGGATTCGAAAAATGGCAAAAAGGAGGGAAAATTCAAAAGGTGGGTTGAGATGGGAAGTTAGTGTCCGAGTGGAACGAGGTCACGATACCTCAAGTGGTAGAGCAGCGGCGTATCTAGCCGAAGATCGTGGGTTCGAATCCCGCTCGTGCCATTGTCTTTTTTATCTCAACTAAAAACCTTAATTAATTGTAATATATTAATTGGTCAAGCGGACCACGAAATTAGTGAATTTTATATAATGTTACATTTGAAACTTATTTTAGGGAGAAAGTCTAAATAAACACATCTATTGAATATTATCGTTATATTTAGGGGGTTTGATTTGTAGAATAACGTCACGACAGCTGCGAAATTATCTTATTTATTTAAAGTTTCTGTCTTTATATCCCATCACCACCAGTCTACAATGCATGTTTAGACAGCCAACAAGCGTAAAACCAGGATTATAATGTTAAATTCTTTATAAGATTCATTTTCCTTCTGTGTTCACAGACTTTAAACACACATATTACAGGTTTTTGGTGATAGGATGTAAAGTCCAAAATGTTCAATCAATGAAATAATTTTAGTTGCTATTGTTCTTTTTTAAACACTAATACCCTCATAAAGTGATTTAGAAAGTTATTCTTCCAATTATACCATGGATGACACATAAAACGAAATCTCTTTGAATTTTTCTTCTTCTACAAATAGCAAATTTACAACAAATATTACAACTATTTATTATTATCATATTTTTGGGCTATTGACTTGTCGTAAAACATCACCATGGCAGCTAAAATTATTTTATTTATGGGAGTTTCAGCGATCTACAACATATTTTTTTTAATCGCCTAAAAACGCAGAAAAAACACGAATCTTATTAACAATTTAATATTAAAAACATAATTCTGTGTTTGTAGACTGTCTGAACAAACAAATAGTTTTTAATTTTTATATGACAATTAATTAAGGTTTTTAGTTGAGATGAAAAAAAGTTAATGGCACGAGAGGAATTCGAACCCACGACCTTCGGCTAGATACGCCGCTGCTCTACCACCTGATCTATCGTGACCTCGATCCACTCGGACATCAACTCCCCTTCTCAACCCCACCTTATGAGTTTTCCCTCCTTTTGCCATTTTTCAAGTTGATGTCCGAGTGGTTCGAGGTCACGATAGCAGTTCAGTTACAGCACTGAACTGTACTTGGTCATTGGGCATCATCCCCAATATACTTAATCTCTGCTGTAATACCTCAGGGTACTGTTCTGGCCCCCACACTGTACCCCTTACACACCTGACCTCCCATCCCATTCTCACACGACCACGATATCCTTGGAGACAATACAGCAATCCTTTCATGTTCTGAACCAGTCATTTCCACTCCAAACCTTCATCGACATTTCACCTTAGTGGTGTCTTGATGTGAAAATAAAACAATAAAATTCAACCCGGAAAAATACACCCACATAACTTTCCCTCTACGAAAAAATCCCTGCTCCAGTTCTCGCTTCTTACCAATCTCTTACGTAGCTTACAATGAATAAATAGTTTGAATAGTTTAATATTCGGTTATATAATTAGCATATATAATATTTTTTCTATATTAAAAACTGCAGTACCCGTCCAGTTTTTATCAGAAATATAAGCTCCAGCCAGTTATGCTATACAGTACATCCAATACACCTACCCATTTAACCCAAGTTTACCATGAATTGTGTGGTGATTAGTGACTGTTAATCGATAATTATTCAGAAATCGTGAGATGCGGTCTGGTGTGATGTAGGTTTAAGACAGCAAATTCTTACTGGCACCCTCAACACGACACGCATGAATGGCACAATTACACCGAAGACAATCACTTTGAGTGAGTAGAAATACTTTGATTGAATATAAAAAATATATTTTGCATGGTATAAATTCACTTTTCCACATCCTAAATGTATTTGTTAAATGTAAACAATGTTTGTAAATCCCAGGCCCTGAAGATGATCTCAATCAAGATCGAAACGTTGGCACGATAAAGAAAATGTTTTTCTGAAACCTACATCACACCAGACCGCATCTCACGATTTCTGAATAATTAAATGAATTAATGAATTATTTGAGCACTACGCTGTTTTCTGTATGATTGCACATCCCAAAACCCAACAACGATGAATATAACAGTCATAAATAAAAGATATTGTTAGCAATAATATTCTTAAATTTAAATCCACAACAATTACCAGCGATCAAAATTAGCTGTCACTACATGTGTATAACAAAATACCATAAAATATATTGAGTTCGGTTCATAATAGATCCTTGTTTGTATATGATGATTGATTACATTCTTTACTTAGGAATATCAAGGAAATGGGCGAAAAATACCATAAAATTATATATGGGTTTTTCATTACGAAATGGATTTTATATATTTGTTTCGCGTTTATGAACCGTTGAGTGTCGAAAAACTGGATCGAACTTGGGAAAACTCAAGCCTACCAGCATTTCCGTGTACCATCTCTCATAATAAAGATGTATAAATGACAAAATGTTGTTGTATACACTGTGCATTGAGTCTTTATGAAGCGTGAAGTGATGTCTTGCCCCGGCAAGGGGTACAGACTGACAGGAAAAACGTAAAGCTCTATTTGCTCTAAGTCCTCTTAGAACATGTTGAACATCAACACTGAAAACAATGTAAAACCTCTTGTTTACGTTTCACAACAGCGTAGAGTGAAGAAATATGACAACGGGAAGCGTTGGAGGAAAAATAGGGCGAAAATAGGCGGACTGATTACTGTTCCAACTGCTGTTACTTAACTGTACCTGAAGGTGATAGAATAATCAATTCAATCTTCGTTAAGTTAATCTCATCAGATTAACGGATTAGATTATTCATCCACGTAAATTTAAACCCATTGTATAAGCTTGATGATAAAATATTAAATGCATTTATTGTTATCTTTCATTTGTTTTTGTTTGAGGCATTTTCGGTTTGTAGTATCAGTGAAGATGATGAATGTGGAGGTGTTTTTTTTTTTTTAGGTCTCTCTATCCCAGTATTAAAAGGCATATCTCTTTTTATCACCCTATTCTTCTATTAAAAAATAACAATTTAAGTGTTTACGTACACAATATACATTAGATAAATGTATTTTGACTGAAATTATATCGTGTTGACGTAAATACTAACAATGACTAAAATTAAAGAAAATGAAGATCCGTTTGTTTACATGTTACTGATTATCTTATTATTATTTATTTCTTATATGTAAACATTTTCATGGCATATTCAATGTTATTTCATACTATTTAAGTCTGTTTTTGCTTTTTTTATCCCAATCTGGAAGATAAAGGATTTGGTGGAATCGTAGGGACAAATCAACTAACCTCTCCTTTGAATACGAATAGGTAAATTTTAAATTGAAACTAGACCAAACAAATTCTCCATTAAAAATTACTTGCAACAGTAAACAAAATCGTTTTCCTCCTCGCCGACGTTCGTATTTCTTTGGTGACGCGGCAATAATCGTTGTACTAGTGCAGGGTCATCTACCTCACCCACCATATCGCCGTGCAAGGGCGCCTTCGGTTTGCTTCCAGTGAAGGCCGTAGCGAAAAATGTTTAAACAAATATATAAACTTCTGACTAGGTAGTCAACTCGGAAATCTATCCAGAAAGATTTTAATTATATGCCATTCTTTCAATTAACTAATTGAGGTTCGACGGGGAACTCGATATTCCGCCATCGGACCACTCACACTAGACAACACAAACTAGGTGCACAAAACTACCGGAATACAATAAACGCAATAAAACAAATCTTTATCCTTCAAGAAATCAGGTTTCCAAGGGCCACCTATCGTCAGTGCTCTTGATACGTGAGAGCTTCTCTGCCAACCAGGCCCACCGACGCTGCCATCTTCTACTAATCATGTTTTTTATTCTATTTTTAGTGTCTGAGGGCCGGATCGCAGTGGATAGGTCCGGAGGTTTGGATTTAGCCGCCTTGTCCGTCTTTTCGTTATCCTCCATACCTATCTGTCCGGGTACCTAGACGAAAATCACCGTTTGCAAGCTATGGAGGCTGATTAAAACAAGTATGTAAATGAATTCTTTTATTAGATAATCCATTTACGTTCTCTCTGTAATCGAGATTACACGACATTTGAAAATGGCAAAAAGAGGGAAAATTCGGTTGTAGGTTGAAAGTTGGTATCCGAGAGGATCTAAGTCACGATGGCTCAAGTGGTAGAGCAGCGGCGTATTTAGCCGAAGGTCGTGGGATCGAATCCCGCTCGTGACACTGACTTTTTTATCTCAACCAAGACCTTAGAAAGAATAATTAATTGATTATTAGATAATATTGTTATATTTATGCATGTATTATCGTAATATTATTGTTTGTTGTGTTTATTACTATTATAGATACGTATTAATAAATGAGGAAAGACAGAATGGAAAAAAGTACCATTTCATGGTCGATTGGTCTGCGGTCGGTTGATGACTTGGATCTACGAGGAAGGTGCCGAAATCAAGCTTGAAGAAACAAACGGGACTCATGAAACAATGTAAAAAAAAAGTTTTATTACAAAAATTAATAAAAAGTATTAACAATAAAACGTCCTTAAATGTGTAAATTTTAACGAGTTGGATGAATTTTTAAAACTACCTTTTGCGCGGATCTTTTTCGCACCGAACAAATGTTGCCTTGCAATGTTTATGAAAGAGATTAGAGGCAAAATCTCAAATAATTTAATTTCATTAAAAAAAAGGACCTCTGCCAAATTAACTCCAAAATATTAACTACTTAAAACTGTTTACCGTAAGAAAATAACAATATCACTGACATACCTTACTCCTTATTTCTTCAAAGTTGGTGCTGAATTGCAAAACTAAACTAAACAGGTTAAGTGTGCAAAACAAAGTCATCCTCTGCTGATTTCCAGGACATGTGGGAGTAGAGGGCAGCAAGAGATCGAACGCCCTTGCAAGGAAATGGGCTGCTATACCGCTGATAGGTCCTGTGCCGTTCTATGGCATATGGATTCACACGATCGATGAGCACCTTAGACTAAAGGACAGAAAGAAAATAAGGGAATTATGGATTGACTCATTTGACACAAGAACCTTCAAAACAACTGAACGCATCAAAGCAGGAAAAACTTGGATTCCTGATAGGACACTGCAGACTGAATGTACATCTAAAGAAGATTGGTATAACCCAAGACGTGCAAATTCTGCAAAGAAGCGGATGATGCACCAAAACACCAACTAACAGACTGTGGCGCACATTTTCCGTGTGTTTTGGGATGCACAATATAACTATTGAAGAAAATGAACCACTGAAACCGGGCATACTAATGAAATTTCTTGATGAACTAGAACTCACTGGTGTGCGTGCCATAAACGCAGAAGGGGTAATAGCTCTTAAAAGGTACAGTATAATATTAGCTCTTCCTGACCTACCAGGATAATCCTTGTTGTTTTTTTTTTTCGAAACACCGGCATCCCAAGTGTGGTTGCCACATATAGTTCCCGCTAGATGCCACTACCGCTTATAGAATGTTCTCGCCCTCCACTCTGCAGTCAATCAGAGTAGAGTCCTTTCGAATATAAGCAGGGGGCACTGCCCCACCGAAATTAGACTCGTCAACTCGACGAGGTCTCGCTTATACCTCAAGACTCGTAGGAGACTCGTAGACGAGCTCTCACAAATCACTAATGGAACACCGTTATCGACATCGACCACGACGACAGCAAGGGTACCACAGCATCAGCGTGATTCTTGCCTTCTCTACACAGCCGACTTGGCTAAACACGCCAATTGCTGCACTCGGTTAATTGTTGCACACGAGTCCCTTCAGCCATTGTGGAGTCAACCGACTCACGGCCCCGGACCTTAGCCAACGGCTTACTCGGTCACAGACCAGCACCAACAGTACCACACACACAGTCTCGATCCATTGTCTCAACGCTACTAAACAACACCGGCCTTTTAAGGGCCACTAAAACTCCCAGTTACTAAACCGAGGTACCCATACAACCTCGTATTTGAAATACTCTCGTAAAAATAAGTAAATATTATTTTTTTTAACTAAGGTATTTCCACTACGAAGTTATATGAACCCGTGTTTTTAAAAAAAAGCCCCTTTGTAAATATGTCGAATGCAGGGCCGCTGGAATCGAACTTCGGACCTTTCTTGCTGCAATGAGCGCCATGTGAACGATTAAGCCATTGCGCCCTATATAATTTAATAAACATTATATAAAAATCCCACAAACATTTTATTTGTACTTCATTTTTTCTAAGTGAGGATATAAATTTAATAATGAAAATAAATATCTGCAAATGGAAACTCACATCATCCGTTGAGGTCGATGGTGTAACTGTACTCTTTTTTGAATAATAATGAAGTGCTTTACCTCATCGACGCAGAAAAGGTACTAGTATGGCATTAGTTATAATATTTTAAAATATGCATGAAAATGTCTGTTTTGGCGTTCAAAGTTTCAGACATTTTGCTCAACCTTGTCAACCTCATATCTTTAACCTATAATAATGGTATATGTTCGATTATACCATAAAAAATTAACAGACTCTGTTTATGCTCTAGTTGCGCTATATATTTTAGTTTATTAAATATAGAAATAATGCTGTAACTCAATTTGTCGTACAAAAGTATGAATGACAAGATGAAAAGTGATGTTTTAAAAATATGTACCACGGCTTGAAGAAAATGTTTAAAAAAATGGGTATCAAACCTATTTTAGTTTTTAGATTTTCACTCACAAGGGGAGGCTGTGGACGTGGATTCACCGATTTGTAATGAAACCTTTTCTTTGCTGATACTAAAAATATTAGAATCGTGTGGAAGCGCTCTTGGCAATGGCCTAAAATTTGACAAAAAAATTAAATTGTTAGAGTAATTTAAATAATATTTCTTAAATATGTAATTTCACCTTTATTTTTCTCACTTATAATGGCCTTAAAAAGAATGGATGTTGATGTATCTTTAAAGAAGGTAAATTGGGCTTTTTAGTTAGCTATTGATAAAATCCACTCAGAATTTGGATAAAATCCTGAAGTTGCATGAATTTTTAAAAGGAGGACCGGAAAGTAGTATAAAAACATTTTCGTTAACCTGTTGTTTGTATGATCGAATTAATGATGAGGTGAAGGAGATATCGAAGAATGTACAAAGTTTCAAAAAAAAAAAAATGTAACAAATGGGTTGCAAACCTTTTTTGATTTTACATTTTCACTCGTTTGGTTTAATAAATTATTCAGAAATTAATAAGGACGATTTTTCCATTTTTTCGTTTTTCATACCACATCGTCTGGGTCAAAGATGTCCAACCCCTCAGGGTGAAAAAATCTGGATTACTCAGCCACTTCTGACAGGCGGTTAAAAAATATAATGGGTGGGGTAAGTTTATGGTGTAATGACAACATAATGGCCATGAGGCTAAATGGGAAAAAGTGTTAACTTTACGACCTGCTTATATTGATTGTCAACAAATGTTTATTGCACCATAGCAGAGAATTAAATTTCCAGTATTTGGCATACATCTTCCAATCCTTGCATTATAATAATATTTTTTTTGCAATTATTGAAATTATTTTTCCTATGATTGTTACAAAATTATGATAACAAATATATTTTTAAAAAAATATTGAAAATCGGCAGCAGGCAAAGATCGCTGATCGCATAATTTAGAGCCATAAATATTTTTAACTGAAAACTGGTCTTTGTACCTTTATGTATGTAATACGTGTTATTCATTGAAACCAATAAGTTATTTGCGTGAATGGAAGGGATTATCCCAACAACGAGGAATATCTAGTACTCTGGAGCAGTGTCAATGAATTGTGGTGCGTGAGTGTAATTTATTAGCGTGAATGGAAGCGTTTATCCCAACAACGAGGAATATCTAGTACCCTGGAGCAGTGTCAATAAATTGTGGTGTGTGAATATAATTTATTAGCGTGAATGGAAGGAGTTAAACCACAATTACACGAAGAACATCGAGTACTATGGGGTAATACGAATGAAGTCTGGTGTGTGAATGTAATTTATTAGCGTGAATGGAGGGGTTCATCCCAAATTACCCCGAAGCGTATGAAATTCTCTGGGGTAGTGCGGATTCTAACAAGGTTTTATCTTATTCCTGTGTTTATATGTATGTATTTGAGCTATTTTATCCACAATGAACGAGGCCGTGAGATACTGACTGCCTACTCTCTCCCCGTAGGCATGAAATTTGTTCGATCGGATATGATATGAGCAACCTTTCTCAACAAACGCAGGGGGATTGTCAAGAAAAGTGTTCAGCATGGTATGTACTTTGTCGAACAATATCTATTCTTCCAACTATGCAAACGTGGTGTAGTCTAAATCTACCTAAACACATTGCTAATTGAAGTATTGTAAAGCAAAAAATAAATCTGACAGGCAATTAAAAAGATAGAGAGTGGGGTAAGTTTCTGATGTAATGAAGTGATAAATTTAAACAGTACTATCAGTGAAATTTGACTACTTCTATATGCAGGTGAAGACAATTGGTCCGGGGAGAACTTGATATTTGTGGTACTTGATCTATTCTTTAAACCATCTGGAATGTTTGTCTAAAAACAGGATAAAATACCATCGAACTTGAAGATTTTGCTTCTCTTTCAATAGAATGTGTTAAGAAAAAAGATTTATCCCAACAAACGATCACTAATTCGATTAACGCTGTCATAGGTGTCGAAAAGACGGTTTCGATATGCAAATCTACCTTCGGAATAGTTCGCAGTTCGAAAACCGATCGCGTGGGTAGAAATGGAAGGGTCTAAAAATAAATTATCGACGCGCTCGTCTTCGAGCCGGCCGCGGTGAAATTGCCGCCGGTTTTCGATGGAAACAAAAGCAGTCGAAATCATCCAAAAGGCGTCGAAAGCGTCGAAAAGGGGAATATGAAGGTGTATAAAGATTGGAAGACTAGAAAGCGGTCGACGGACCTTCGAGAAAAAGTGGGGGTCGGCCAGATGCCGGCTCGATACGGAGAGAACCTCGCCACCAAGCTCACAATTTCCTTTTGAAATAATAATAAATAATAATATCAAAAACGTTCCTACCCGAGATTCAATACGACGTACAAATAATACAGACTTTAATCCATATAAATATAGCAATTCTTATTTATTACATCCGTAAATAAACAAAAATATAATAAATTAACAGCCTCTAGGGCATGTTATTTTCATTATTTTGACAATTTTTTAAATTTTATCCTTCACATTTAATACTCTTTTTTTTAATTTTTAGAGGTTATAAATCTGCATGTAGAACTCACATTTAATTTAATGATAACCATTTAAAAAAAGAGATTATTTACCCTATAAAATATTCAGGGATTCTATTCTTTAAATCGAATTTGTTTTCCCTCAATTTTCCGGGCAGAGCGTAAAATTTTTTGCATTACTATTAAATAAAGTAGAAGGCACACATACAGAACAATTAAAGATAGAAAATTTGTTTTTTTTACGAAATTAACATTTTAAAATATGGCATTAATGACAATCAAGTTTTACAATCGGAACGTTTTATGATTAAGATGAACCGAAAGAGAGGGAGAGAGAG